GCAGGAGTGCAAGGAATTCAATGTCAGCATCAGAAAATAAGGACTCTCAGACAAAACTTTACTTGTGGCAGTAGAATCACAAGAACTGCAGAAAATATTTGCATGTGTAAAGGATCTTGTTGTTAGACCTTACATCTGTAAGCAGCTGAGGGCACAAAACTGTCATATCCCTATTGCTGGAAAGCAATACTCTGATCCCAAGCCTTGCATCTGCCAGCATTACAAATCACACTTCACAGAATAATAGATGAATGTAAAGCCAGAAGTGACCACTGTAACTATCTAACCAGTGCTTTGTGTCCTGGGACAGGGAGTTTCATCTGGTAACATATACGTATCGCAAACAGCACAAGTTGCTAGAGAGCTGCACAGCCAGATGAGATTAGATGGTCGTGGACTTCAATGAGCACAGGGTTTCATCCCCAAATTCTGTTCAGAGCTCTCTTACGAACGAACTTATGTGACTTCTCAGGGTTCTTTTGTTTTCCATCTGTAAGGTCAGGATAATGTTACCACTCTATACCATGAGAGCATTAAGGGAGTGAAACTACTGATAATCAGATACTGGGGAATGCTTCTTATAAGTAGTTCTTTTCAAAACACGATGAGCCTTACCCACATTTGCAGCACCCGGGCACAGATGTTTGAGATCTACAGGATGTTAACAATGTCCAAAAGTAACATTGCCATATAAACTGTTTTGGGTAGGCGTGTTGCTTTACAGCCAGCAAGACATGGCAGTCTGGGTTTGACTCTGAAAGTCCTGTAGCATGCCTTTCGCGTGGAATGTGTTTGCTTGTTTCTTCTGTCTATATTTTTTTCTGGTCTGTTGTGTTGTGTAATATAGCAATGCATACCTCGGTCCACTCTTATGATGTTTCACTCTGGATCTTTTCTGTCTCATCAATCCTTCTGGATTTTCTGCTTCATGAAGTAGTTCTAATGAATATGGTGCCACAATCTACATGCTTTGAGCTGCTGAACTAAAAATTTTGGAAAACATTACCAGAGCAGTCTGTAATAGTGTTGGTTTCTTTCAAATAACAAAGGATATCTGAATCAGAAAGATGCTTTATATGGTAGTTTGCACTACTAGAAACTGTCTTGTTATTTTAACTCTTCTTCTGGGAAGCCTCGTGAAGGCACTAGACAATTCTCTGCCTACCATAACATAAAAACAATGATAGGTTTTTAACTCTGAGTTTTTAAAACACTTCTATGGGGGATGGAAATGATCACGTTGTAAAACACAACATACTCCTTTTAAGCCAGAAAATATTACACATACAGTATATGGAATCCCAAGACCCACTTTTCCAATACCTTTGAGTAAGTGTTCATGGGACCATTCCAAAAACCCTTGCTTTAACAAATTTTAGCAAATTCTGTGTATGAGTTTTTTCTTTTCAACTTCTAGTCTCTGTGGAAATCCCTACAAGGTGGAAGATTTCTCTCAAGCATTATGAAGGTTATAATCTGAGGGAAGAAGGGAGAGGTGTCTTTTTCCATTCCCAGTATAATTCAGTTTGCTGAAGTTTTATGAATAATAGTAGCATTCCAGAAAGCTTGATTGCTCAGAACTGAATTTGAATGGCAAGTGTTAGCTGTTCTTGACTTACTGTCCAGAATAGGACCATACTTCACTATTTAGAGTCTTTCTGAATACATGAATTCGTATCTAATACACTTTTACAAAGATGCTGAGAGTTTATCCCATTTATAGGAAATACTAGCAGTACAGTAAGAACTGCTAGTGCTGTGATTTCCTGCTTCCAGCTTTGTGCTCAGACAGAATTACACAGAATCACGGAATGGTTGAGGTTGGAAGGGACCTCTGGAGATCATCTAGTTCAACCCCCCTGCTCAGGCAGGGTCCTCTAGAGCATGTTTCCCAGGATCACGTCCAGACGGGTTTTGAATATCTCCAGGGAAGGAGACTCCACCTCCTCTCTGGGCAACCTGTTCCAATGCTCAGTCACCCTCACAGTCAAGAAGTTTTTCCTCAGGTTCAGACGGAACTTCCTGTGGTTCAGTTTCTGCGCGTTGCCTCTTGTGCTGTTGCTGGGCACCACGGAGAAGAGACTGGCCTCACCCTCTCGACGCCCTCCCTTCAGATACTTGTACACATTGATGAGATTGCCTGTCAGTCTTCTCTCCTCCAGGCTGAACAGGCCCAGCTCTCTCAGCCCTCCTTCATAGGAGAGGTGCTCCAGTCCCCGCATCATCTTTGTAGCCCTCCGCTGGACTCTCTCCAGTAGCGTCATGTCTCTCTTGTCCTGGGGAGCCCAGAATTGGACACAGGACTCCAGGTGAGGCCTCCCCAGGGCTGAGGAGAGGGGCAGGATCACCTCCCTCGACCTGCTGGCAAAACTCTGCCTAATGCACCCCAGGAGACCATTGGCCTCCTTGGCCGCAAGGGCACACTGCTGGCTCATGTTTAACTTGTTGTCCACCAGGACACCCAGGTCTTCAGACCTGGCTGAAGGTTCTGGCTCCTCCTTCTTGCCCTTTCTGAACACTGGAGTGACACTGGTTTTCTTCCAGTCCTCAGGCACCTCTCCTGATCTCCAGGACCTTTCAAAGATGATGGAGAGTGGCCTAGCAATAACATCCGCCAGCTCCCTCAGCACTCGCGGGTGCATCAGTTAGACCATTAGATCAAGTCATTCTGATTAATACTGGAAAGCATTTTTGGAAGCCTCTAGATGAAATGTGCTAAAAATAGGGCAGGATTTACTGTGATGTTGATTCGGAATAGTTAGCTGGGAGGATTCTCCTGAACTGGTTAAGCTTTGTCCCATATCTTCTGTCTAACCTTGTTGGCCTCCTGATTTCTTCCATCTGGATTCTAAAAGCTAGCATGCCATGCATGCTACGGCATTTCTTCTTTTTCTTCTTCATGTTTAGCTCCCATCCATACTTGCACACCTCTGTTAAGCATGCTCTTCAGATAACCCACAGGATATTTTTAATATAATATTCAGACCTTTAAGATGAAATTTCTCTTTCTTTTGATCTTGGATTTGGTGCGGACCTCTTTAGAAGATGCAGTTTGCTCATCCCTGGACATCTTCCTGTGACTGATGCGTTATTAAATCTTCCACCGTCCCAGCCAAGCCTTTGTGCAGGATGAGTTAAACATCTCTACTATTTTCTTTGATCACAGAAATAACAATTACTTTGTTGTTATAATCTCTTAACTTGCTATAAGACTTGACATATTTCAGATGGAGAAGACCAGTTAGATCACTGATCCCAGACTTCTTTAAAAGCAGAATGCGGTCTCCATACAGAAGACTTGCATTTTTGCAAGAGACAGATCATCTTGCCTTGCACCCAGCTATTTGAAGTGAAGCTTGGCAAAACATGAGGAAGTCTTTTATACGTTGGAGAGCTGTATTGGCCAGAAAGATTACCTAGATGACCTACTATGAATTTTTTTTTTCTATCTTTAACTTTGAGTTTGATTTTCTAGTGATATATTTTGTCTTTAAAATTATCTGGCAATGTAACAATTAATACTTCTATTTAAAGCAAAGTTCAGGCTTCCTTATGCTGACTGCTGCTCTTCCACCGGCAGAACAGAAAAGGGCAGCACTGCTGCTAGAATTAGAAGCCTAGAGCTGGAGATAAAAAATGAACCAAAGCTCTCTGGTGCCTGCCTTTCCTGTCTACTGCACTGTGTATGTTTTAGCAGAAAGCAATTATAATATGTGTGACTGCTTTGGGAGCCCATACTTTCACAGCAGAGCCAGTCTTCAAAGCCCTGCATAGTGATCGTTTCTGCTCTATAGCCTCGTGTGCTGGGTTTGCAATTCCCATAACAAGTAAGTAGTCTCTCTGGACCTGATCCAAAGTGAATGAAGTCAGCGGGAACTGTTTCAGTTGGCTGTAGATGAAGTAAAACGTTATAAAATAATAAGTGCGAGGGAGACTGTTGTGCCACTACACACCTGCAAGGATAGCACTATGCAGATTAGTATCTTGTGTTTTTATAGCATTCGTTCCCATAAAATATTCAAATCACTTTTATAAATGATGAGCTCAGTGCTCTTAACAGATCTGCATGTGCCCAGCTGGGATTCTAGGGAAATGATGTTTGCTCATGCTGGTCCATTCTGCAGAATCAGATTCTACATCTGTTCAAACCTACTGAATCCAGCCCTGAAATGTGCCCGTCTTTGTGGCATACAGAGGCTAGCGTTTCACAGCAACACTGCACAGCGTCTTGTGTCAGGCTAAAAATATCTTGCCCAGCTAAAACCGCAGAGCATGCTTGCAAAAAGATTCACCTGACTTTTAGAGTTGTTCGTGAACCCAGGGCTGATTTTTGCCGTGGAACTTCTGCAAAAGATCAGACCTTAAATACCAAATCTATCTGTAGTGTGCATGTCTGTATGTATATATATATAAATGATCAAAGGATGTCATCTTGTGCAGCACTAAGCATCCTCATGCCAGGACGTGCTGAGTACAATTACAGACAAAAGAAAGCCACTGCTTAGTCACAAGCATAGTTCTTGTGGTCATTAATGGCTTTCCCCCAGCTATCTGTCAGGTTCACTTGCAAAACTGTCTGGCTCCCAGTGTTTGATGTCACCCATTCCAGCTGCAGACACACTCTTCTTTTCCTTTTAGAGACTTCTCCAGGAGTTGCTGAGGTGACGTTTGTGGAAAAGGAACCAGCTGAACGCCACACTATCATTTCATGGGAGCAAGTGAGTGTTTTCATGATAGTTCTGCAGTGGGGTTGGTCTGACTATACTGCAGCCCGTGGAGAATGTCAAATGACATGGTCACCTTTTGTTTGCTTTTAAGACAGCCTGCTACCAGATGCACGCTGGATCTTGAACAGCCTTTGTTTTTCAGGTATTTCTCTGGTTTCTAGAATATCACATGCACGTGATCTGTTAAAGGGCCCTCATCAGTGAGGGAGTATTTAAAATGCGAAGTCTAAGAAGGAATTGCCTTGGTGTTATAGACAGCAATAGTGATGACTCAGTGGAGAACGGACATGGTTCTAACTCAGCTATGAAACCATTTTCCAGCTCTCTTTGAGACAAAATGAAGAAGCTCTTCATTATTTGTAGCCATTATAGGTAGAAATCTCAAGCTGGAAAATACTCCTGAGCCATCTAGTTCATTCCGGTTGTCCATTTTGCCTTTCGGCCTCAGGTATTCGCTTCCATTTCTCTGAGCCCCTCCTTCCACCTCTTTGGCCAGCAGCCCCAATCTTTTGCCCACACATGTCCCACTGGCTGTTCCAGAAGCCAACAAAGGCCGCATACTACCTCAGCTCCCCACTAGCAGACCTCAGTGCATCAGACTGCCTGACCAAAGGGTTCCTGAACACTGTTGTGTGACTGTGGTGGACAAAGATGGCATTTTTGGTCACTTCTCCGAACATAAATGTGTTTTTCAATCCCATGACCCAATGCACGTGCATACACACGTGCGACTGGATGGGGGCACAGGATGAGGAATGACTGCTTTCTAGGCGTTGTTTTTGTAGGGTAGCGGCAGTAGTAGCTGACCGGCCTTTGGAGAGGTACATGGCAGGGGACGAAGGTGAATTAATTGTCCTCCCTTTGCTCTAACCCGTGCTGTGCCCAGATGCATGCGCTCCCGGCAATTGCACTTGTTACTACTCCCTGAAAATAACTGCCCCTTTGACATCTTGCCATGAGTTATTCCTAACAAGTAAACAAAAGTCTTGCACCCATTTTGGTAACACCCTTTCCCAATTAGTGATATTTATCAATAAAATATAAATCCAGGTCAGAGTATGTGTGATATAGTGTTCAAAAGCCTGGGTTATTTACTGAAACTTGTACAGTAGCCAGTAACTGTGGTTAGAAGAAATGTCCAGTTTTTCAGGTTCATGTGAACCGATTCTTGATTTCCTGCAGCTGTGGTGGATTAAGGGCACTCGAAAGAGAGAAGTGCTCAGACTGGCTGTGAGCCAGCTCAGGTTGGGAGCAGGAGAGAGGCATTTACTCGTTCTCCCTCTCTCCTCCCCCCCCCTTTTTTAAAAGGCAAAGTCTATTCAGTCTGAACGTATTCTTGTTATATCAGGTACTTCTTATTCTCCTAATTAAATCTGTTTTATCTCAAAATTGAGATATTCTTTTGGACTCAAACTTTGAAATGCTTTAGTCAAAGCACTTTGCTCAAGGCAGAACATCTTCCCCCACCCCAGTGAATGAACTGTGCCAGTAAATGCTAAGAATTGAATAGATACAGTTGAGCTGGAGCTAATGATGAGGGACTTCACTGTCTATTTCTTTGTTTCCAGTTGCATTGACAAAATCTGAACTCTCCTTTCCTGAGTTCAAAGCTAACTATTTCTCTTGTATGTGGAAATAAGAATACGTAGCAGATCTTGGGCTCTGGGGATGAAATCTGATCTCTAGCACAATGGCTAGTCCATGCAATTGCAGTACGTACTGCAGTGAAGATTAGGTGTAAAGCACCTAGCACTTCACAGAGCCCTTCAAGGATAAACTCATACCTGTCCTTTTCCCCAAGCTCATCGTACTTGGATCTGAATACAAGGATATACATCCATACCCAGTGTTCTCTTTTAGCACGGTTTCTTTGTAGCCACTAGGTGGCAACACTTACGCATGTAATCATATTTTCTCCATAGCTGAGATTTTAACAAAGTCTCATTCCAGTCTGTATTTTTACCTCCCACTATGTCTTTGGTTAGGAAAGTCTTTGTAGGGCTTTTTGTATGATGTAGATAAAATTGAACAAACTCGTCACGTTTTTTTCCAAAACCTCACTCTTCTGATTAAGACTCGTCAAATAAAAGCTCTATGATTAAGATTTTCTTTACAGTTTTGCTAGAAGCAATTCTCATTGTCCTATTGCAGTCTTGTAGAGGAAATGTGTTCCTGCCAAAAGCAAATCTATGGTATTCAGAACCTCTTATAAGAAAATCAAACTAATTTTAATTATGAATGACTGTAATGGTATTCTAATAATCCGTACTACCAGCATTAATTTTCTTGTCATTGTCTCAAAAATAAGCTATGTTTGTTAAATTGGGTTATGCCAAGTTTATGATAGTATTTAACTGGATATAATGGTGGAAGTTTTACAATTTTACATCAGCTTGTTGAATGCCAGTCAGCTGAAGCTCTGCAGAGGGAAAAGAGCTTTATGACAGGATACAATGCAGTAGGACAGCGGGAAGGCAAAAAAGATGTTTTCCAAGGCTTTCTGTAGATGCAGACAATCAGAAAGAGCTGCTGAAGTTTACATTTCGTGAAATCAAACCGGAAATAAAACCTGAATATTTTATTGGAAATTAGCACGCTGACAAAAATATATAAGATAAATGATTGTCAAGTATTGATGTACTAAAGTATGGAAGTGAAAAGAGAGAAATTTTCTGCTTTCCTGATGTTTCAGACCTGCTAAGCTGTTATCTTTGCCCCAAAAGAGTGAGACAAGCAATAGAAGTGGGAGTAGAGACAGAGTTAGCATATGACTGGGACACCAGTGATAGTGATCATATATCCTGCTATGAGCCAGTTCTTACTTCTAAAATTAAGTTGGCATCCACCTTGCTACCCTCCATACGCAGTTTGTAAAAAGGGACATGATAATAAAATATTGCTAGGAGATACTCTGATATCTGCATTAAAGGGCCTAATCAGTGGTTTCCTCCTCATTCAGAAGAGATAAGTCACTCACATCATTATTTTGCTTTTCAAGAATACAAAAATACGTTTTGCTGGGGGGAGTTCAGCACCTCAGCAAGCAAAGCAAAATGAAGGAGGTCATTTTGCCTATTCTTCTAATTGGCTTGTTAATAGTGTCTGAACTGCAGCTGGCTGGCTGTGAGTGATCCCTACCCATCACACTGCTGGAGCTTTGATGTTCTCCGACTCCGCATGAGAATTTTGTTGTTCCTCCTTGTGCCGTTTGTCTACAGGGATTTATTGTTCTGTAATAAAAACAGAAGGAAAAAAAAAAAAAAAACCTTGAGCAGTTTACAGCTTCCCTGCTGTGGATTGTCATAGGCTGCCAGATGATTCAGAAGCACTTTCTGTATGTAAATCTCACTGGGAAATGAGGTGGCTGTTCCTGGCTATTTTGGAAGCCTTCCACAGTTTTTTGTCCCACATCTCATTTTGACTTACAAAGCTTGTGCTCAGATCCAGTTACCAACGATTCCTTCTATGGCAAGTGTGTTTTGCTCAGCGTCTCAGAAACTTATATGATGAGGCCCTACGCAGCTTCAGTCAGACTAGCCTTTACCCAGCAAAGTATGTGTGTGGACACACACATCCACAGTAGCCCTTTTCCCCGTTCTCCATGTGTGTCCTCCCTCAGCATTATACAAACCTGCAATCCCCAATCCCCACAAGATGGGACCTACCCGTCTTGAATCTGCTTTGTGGCCCCAAGCGTGGGAGAGGCAGGGAAGTGGAGCCAGCAGAACCAGTGCATGAGGAAAGGTAGATTTCTTCAAGGTGCATAATGGGGTGCAAGCTGGAGGAGTTCTGGGATGCCCATAGTTACATAGGGCAACCTCGTATGTATTCACTAGCAGCCAGGGTAGACCAGTCATGGGACTACGTGAAGTTAAGGAGAGAGAAAGGTGGCTGCTGACTTGCTCCGCTACTGGGAAGCGACATAAATCCCTTCCTTCTCTCCCCAGGAGGTGTATAGAACTAATTCACTTTTTAGAGAAGTCTCTCTAGGGTTGTTTGTTTTGACTGTTGTGCAGTTCCTTAGGATATTTGCTTGGGAGGCATTGTTTCAATTTAAGTGAATTGCAATACGTCAGTGTTTTAGCTCTGGGTTCAGTGTTGATCAGGTCTTGGCAGCAAGCTTTCCTGGTTCTAATGTTCTCTGTCCTCAATGGAGTGTACTTTTTTGGGAGACTATTTGGGGATATTTTAGACGATAAACGAAAGAAATAGACCTCACACACCATATTGGGCACTTGGGATGTTGTGTTTTATGAGCTGATGAGTGTAACCAGATGACTGGGATTTTTTTTTTTTAAAAAAAAAAAAAAACCTGCTTGCCAGGGCTGTGGTTAAGCCACTTCTGGCATGTTATTAGGAACATTGTATTTTGTGGGGCTGGAGATCATAACCCTGGAAACTACCAGATGAGCGAGGAGAGTACAGCTGCTTGAAGTGAAGCTCTTTTTCATGTGTGATGGTCTCGTTTCTCTGACCTCTGCTGTCAGAAGACCACTGTTTTGAAGTCATAAGGTCCTGTGGCTGAGCGTAATGTGACAGATCAGTCAGTCCTTTCTGTCACATGGGAGAGATGGGTATTAGTAAAGCTTTTTAGGATTTTGGATAGGCTGCACATCTGCTCTGATGCAGCATTTCCCACCCTTATATTTTGCACCATCATTTGGAAAGGGTCGTACTTAGGAGGATCCTAAAATAAAAGTAAAGTGGAGAGGGCAACCATTTCGAGAAACGTGCACATGTTGATCTTTCTCTCCAGAAAAGAAGAATTCAGTGCAGAAGGCCTATCCACCCATATCCTTTTGTGCAGAGACCAGTCATCCCAATGGATCTGGTTCTCCTGCTTACCGGAAGAACCCCAATGAAGTCAAAAGAGCTGTTCCCATATACATTTTTATTGCTGGAGTAGTTTAGTTACAATTGGATGGTTTGAAGATGGGCTAGAAATGCTGTAAACATTTGTAGTCTTGTAAATTTTGGTAACAAACAGGTCTGTCATATTTTTTTCTTCATAGTTCTAAACCTAGTCACCTCCCTTGCAGCTACAGCATGAAACTAGAAGTGGTGAAAGTGCAGCATGAAATTATTTCGCACTGAGAGTAACCCACAGATTAAGGTGTGTTTGTTGCAGGCATTTGAAGAACTTCAGATATGTCCACGTGGTTCAATAATCTTCTGAAACTTACCACCAGAGCTTTGGCCATCAGCATGCTCTTATCAAATGACAATAAATTCTTCTCAAAACAAAGTTTCTACAGTATCAGATTCTCTGCTTTAATACCTGTTGCCTCTGGAGATTTTCTCAAGCGGGGTTAGAAAAACACTGTGCTGGTGACCAGGCTGCTGATGGGGCAAGTAAAGTAAACTGCCCTCCGGCAAGCTGCAAAGCCATTAGTATCTGGAACTCATCAATAGCAGCCTGTAGGCATAAATGGGTATGCCTAGCAAGTAAATAACTTAACTTGCAGGAGTGAAGGGTGTGGGTGCGTTGGAGACTCCTGCCTTGTGTATATGCCACGGTTTAGGGGACAGAGGCTATAACAGCTCAATGAATACGAACATAAATAGGACTTTAATAGGCAGAACGGCCACCCTGATCGTCGGAGGGAATGTAGAGAGGAGGAAGCTAGAGCTCACCCTTTCTCTTGCCAGTCGCTGACAACCACAGTTCAGCACTGCAGCTGGATGTGTGGCTTGGGGGTAGCTCCTGCTGGATAGGTGTGTTGAGAGACTGGATCGGAGCAGAGAAGGGATATGCATGAGTTGCAGACTTGGGGAAAACTCTGATTACTATCTCTCAGATTTTACAGATTTGTGGCCCAGATTAAGTAAAGGTGTATGAACTGTGTGTACCTGAAGGTTGTTTCCTCTGCCTTAGATACCAATTAGCAGATTCTTCCTTTATTTTACATGGCTTTGAGTGTTAAACGTTTTGGCAGCTGCAGGGAAGTAGCCCCAGCAGACAGACAGTATCAGAAAGCTGTTAGCATCTGGTACCTCTCTGCTTGCTCCAAAGTGATTCTGTTGGGTTTGAGACACATCCTGCATTTCTCCATAATACTTCAGGCCTCTTGTGATTTGTAGAAAAACTCCTGCGTGTTGCCAGAGGATTTAAAGAACTTCTATATGATGACTGATGGCTTCCAGATGACCTGGAGTGTGAAGACTGATGGTGAGTCCATGTGTTCCTCTCCACTGATACCGTCATTTCTGTGCATCCACTCTTTGCTTCACAGAATCCCTTTAGTTTCAATCTTTCTTTTTGTACAATCAGTACCTACCTCTTGGCTTCCTGTACAAGTCTAAGCAAAAGCACACACACCAAGTCATTTTGAGTGAAAAATTAACACCATTCCTTAACTGCAAAAAAAAGTAGTCTTGCTTCTGCTAGACAGTTTGATCAGCGACTATAGAAAACTGACCTCTGAATTAAGAAGTGAGTGCACTTCTGCATGGGATCGTAGACTGTTTTAGAGATGTTCTAATGTTAAGGAGGTGTTCTAATGTCATCTGAAAGATGAGTGCAGATCAGAAGTCCCTTCCTGATGCAGCAGGACAAAACTTATTGCTTGCCTGAGCTAGACTCCCACAGAAGGAAACTTGTACACTGAACACTTGCTAGAAACCAAGCAAATCTTCATGACATAAATACCATTGCGTAGCACACTGATCATCTGTTGACATCCAAATTTACGTATGTAATTTGAATCTAGTAATTAGGCTCCCTTTTTAATTCAAGGAGAGAGAGGCAGCTTTAGAGAGGACGCTTTCCTGTCGTAAACCAGTAGGAGGAACCACTCTCTGATAATGCCTCTTTCTCTTTAAAAAATATGTGTATGCACAATCCGAAGAGACCTGAACTGTGCATTGATTTTTAAACTGGCAAATTGTATAGAAGGCCAGAATGGTGACCTTGTACCAATAACATGATCCCTCTCTCTTTTTCCACTTTACATGTTATAAGGGGGGGACTTTCCTTTGCTGTCACATTAACATGTGGATTACCCACTGTGAGCCATAATGAGTGCTTTAGAAAAGCTTACACACCAGTTAATACCTTTCTTCTCTCTCCGCTCCAAGTGGTAGCTTTAATCTGAGGAAAATGAATCTGCTGGAGCTATCTGATTGCTCACATCTCCAAGCGAGAAAGAGGGAGGCTAGGAAGGTCATGACCGTGTTAAGGTCCAGTCTGTCATCTTAGCTGTTTACATACTTACCTGTCTTAGCTGGAACTTTTTTTTTTTCTTCTTCTTCTTCTCCTTTTCAGTTGGTTTCTTGCTTTTCACGTAGATCTCACAACTGGGTGGATGGAAGCCAAAATCCATCGAGCATCTGAGCAGAGGTCACACAGGTTGTATTAATCAGCCACGAGGACAAGACCTTGCTCGATAACGAGAAACAATGTACCAGAGAAGTGTCTTATCTCAGACTTGCTGATATCTGTCAAAGTTTAACTAACAACCACCAAAATTTCTATCCCTGAGCCTGATTCTGCTCTCCCGCTAGCTTAAGTCTATTCGCTGGAATTATTTATGGAGTTATTGGTGGAAGTGAGAGTAAGATCAAGCTTTATTGTCCATCCTTGTGTGGCAAGAATCAGGCAGTTCTTTTGCTCTGCACTGGGGCCCTGCCACTGTAATCGTGGTGCTTGTTGCCTTACAATTGAGTTGTCAGTTGAGGCTATGGGTACTGCTCGTTTCGGGTGTCAAATACATGGTTCTCCTCAGGAAATGGAGTTTCTTTTCAGAGACATTTGACACGAATACTCTAATACTTGCATTGACACTCTGTGTTTCAGGTGGGATTTAGTGTGTTATGACCTCTGAAGAATCTTGTTTTCAGGGCGCAGAAGTGCACAGAGCCCAAGGCAGCTCACATAACTATTTTGTTTGAGTAAGCATCCAGCTACGCCCTGTGAGGCCCGTCATGCTAGCATGTGGCTGAATTGGGTGGTTGTGACTTAGTGACTAGTGACAGCGCAGATTCCTCAGAAGGAGAGACAAGCGGCAAGTCCTCAAGCATTCATTCAGGATTACCCACCTGCTGCCACACTGGTAATAGCCCATGTTGGAGTGGGACCCAAGAGCATGCACCCTGAGCAGGTACATGGGATAGAAGAGGATGAGCTGCCCAGTAAGTTGCGAATGGGTGGCATGATTCTTGGGAGGAAGGACAGAAGCATGCAAGAGTGTTTTGTGGGGGTGGCTGTAGCTAGCTAGGATTTTTAATAGCCAGTTTCACAGAACTGGGCTGATACAGCTGCATCACAGCCCTAGTCAGCAGTGCAATTCTCCTATCGTCACAGCTCTGAGATGGTGTTGCACGAATAGCACTTCCCCTTTCCTATTCCAGATTATAGCAGATACAATCACTAGAGATCTCTCAGTTGATGTCTTTTTGGTTCTGTAGCGGGGCAGAAGCTGCTGACGTGGCGTTGTCTGAAAAAGGCTAATTCTTGCTCCTGTGGAGTCTGACTTGGTTAAGTATCCAGGCTTACTGAACATACCCATCCCTTCCCCACCTCTGTGTTTTGGAAGGGCTTAACTGATGTTTCAAGAAACAAAAAAATCTCTGTACTTTCCTGACTCTGGGATGTAATTAATGGTCGATCTTATTGCAGATACCCCGATGCCCTTGGGTTCCATGGTGATTAATAGTGTCTCAAAGCTATGTCGACTTGGGGGTTCCTCAATGTACACTCTACCTAATGCACCAACTCTCGCTGACCTGGAAGATGACACAGATGAGGAAGGTAATGTCCTATTAGCAGGCTAGAACACATGCTTTGCCTGATCCCTTTTGTTTTGTTAGGATGACGTTAGGGTATAGTACATGGATATAACAACAGAAGAGGTCGCTCCGAGTAGAGATGATTTTTTTGTCTCCTGGGCCATATCCATCCTATGTCCTAATAGTCCCCTACAGCCTTGAGAGGTGTAGACCTGTATACTGTGAATCTCATGGTGATTGTTAACTCTGACAGTCACTAGTATTATTTCTATACTCTTTGGTAGCCGGTCTGCCCTCCTATTCTGCCTTTTGCCTTTTTAAACTTTTAACTAAGGCTTCCTCCAGTGACTCGGCTTACAAAGTGTTTGTGTGCTTCTGGTGTTATACAAACAGAAGGAAACAATTTTAGTCTTGGTAGTAAAAAGGCAGCTGGATATGCTCTTCAGAATTGGAAAAAAAGCTCTGGTAAATGTATTTAAAGGTGAGATGGCATTGGAGAACGTGTATTTCCAGACTGACTAGAAATGTAAGATATCCTGCAGATTAAAAAGCAAAAACAATTAAAAAAAAAACTTCCTTTCTTCAGAGCTCTTTCAGTCTAACAAGGCTGGAACAAGTAAGAACACAAGACCAGGATGAGATGTCATGCTGACTCTTTCAAAAAATATTGCTGTTTGATTTTACAGTCTTGTTTCTGAATCTCTATAGCTCTTGTAGTTTCTCAACGTGGCTGATCTTGAGCTTGTTGGACGAACCTTTCTTTCTACAAATTCCAGTTTGGCTACAGCCCTGATATTCCAGCCACTGAAATAAATAGGCCAAATTCTGCTTCCCTTTAGCCACTCAGAGCTCCACTGATGCACCTACAAGGTATATTCAGAAAAAGTTGTCTCCCACAAGAGTTCTTATCCTGACTTCTTCCATGGAAAGCTATTCTTAAGAGTTCAAATGTTATGTCTCCCTTCTTCCTCGGCAGGATTAAAATTCAAAGTGATATTTTGCAACAGTATGCAGCTGCATAGTTCCAAAACGGTCCTGTAGAAAAGACTCTGCGGTGGTGGTTTGTCACACTGAATATGAGTTAAAATGCTTGGCTGTTGAGGTGGCTGATGTCATACTGGAATGCATAAAGAAATATATATGTCATCAAATTCATCAATGTCTTTTGTTAAGAGAAAAAGAAAAAACTGTTCTCCCTGTACTGCATTAAAAAAAAAAAAAAGAGAGAAGGTAGGGCAAAAATGGGTGTTGGATAAAACAGAAGTAATGTGCTTCAACTGCAGCAAGGAAGATTCAGGGCAGACATGAGAAAAACTTGTAAATGATAAGGGTGCACTGGAGTTCACTGCCTGGCAATTGTGGCATCTCCAGCACTGGAAGTCTTTAAGAAAAGATCAAACAGCTCTGTGGAGTGGCATCCTTAAAGAGACATCCTGCCTTATGCCAGAGAAGGGCTAGAAGACAACTTGATGTCCTTTCCAGCCATCTGATTTTGTTTGTTTGTGGTATGTTTTCCTACAGGAGAGACTTAACGATTTTTCTCATGCTTTTTTTAAACACAGGGAAATTAATCCTTTCCAAGAAGCATAAAAATAATATTTTGATGTAGTTCTTCAATTGATTTGTTAATATCTACCAAATAGATTTACTCTTTGCAGCTGAAAGACAGTCAATTTTCCAAATATGTTTCTTGAAGGATTTTTTTCTGTTTTTAAAGGTAATGAAGGCAAACCAGAGAAGCCACACTTTGATTCTCGTAGTCTTATCTTTGAATTAGACCCATGCAACGGGAATGGGAAAGTTTGTCTTGTTTATAAGCACACTAAACCAGGTAAGACTGAAAAGAGTGAAGTTTGCCATCTCTTGTTGCAGGTTGTGTCTGGGGGACAGATACATAGCATCATCTTACATTTTTGATCTTCTTTACCTTTGTAGATGAACGTTTACTGGGAAGTCATGGCTGCACTGATCTCAGTGGCCAAGCCTTACAATGACTTAGCGGGAGCTAACATTTTCTTCCTTTTAATGTTCGAGTCAGAGTTATAACTTGCGATTTCTGCATGCATAGCCTATTTACATATTAAAACAGGAAAACACTCACATATGACCTACAGACAATCATATTGAAATAATACAGAGCTCAGCCACTCACTTATCCCTGGTTACTTACATGTCTCAGAGTATTTCCCTCACACTTTGATGCAGAAGGGTGTATTTTGCTTAGAAGCAAAGGGTGGATGGCAAAAAATAGTCCTCAGCCCACTGAGACAGTCTTAGACTGGCTGTGCCACCTAGAGCATGGATGGCATTCCTCCAGGTGCCAGCGAGGTCAGAATTTGGCAGGAAGGGTCAAATGGGAGAGCCGAGCTGAGCCAAGCTTTCTTTTGACAGGTACACAGAAAGTTGTTTTCAGTCATGGACTAGTGAAACCCCCAATTACTTGTAGAGTAGTAGTCATCTGACATTCAGAGTGCACTCTGTACATGTGCACTCTGTACATGTGTATACATTTACATACACTGCGTGTGGACGTGCACATGCGACCTGTTCTTAGTAAAATCCTTCAGTTGTTATCTTATGCCTGTAACTGGGTGTGGCTAAAATTCCCAGGGCTGAAACTTCTGACTTATCTTCTTACCTTTCTAGTGATAATGATTCCAGCCCGTTCAGTGGATGACATGGGCAAGGGGAGGGAACCTTATTTGCAGGCGTTGATGTCGGCATAGGAGGCCTTATGTTTAGCTGACGGTGTTCAGAGTCTCCATTTACCAAGTAAAATCACTTCTTTTTGTCTCTGCTAATCTGACTGTGATTTTTTTCTAAGAAGTTGCCCCCCAGAGAAATTTTTAGTCACTATGGAAAGCCTTTGCAAAATATGTTTTTGTTGGCAACATACACTCCCATGACTTCCAGACTCTGGACTCTACTCGGTAATGCAGATGACTGACTACTAGTTAGTTACTGTTTCTACTTTGCAGAGCAGATAAATGTTTGCAATAATCGTACTTTGAACTTGTGTTACAAAATTAGTGTTTTCCAAAGATGCTCCACCTGGAGTGTCAGTCCCAGGTTGGGAAGTAATAGCGTTGCATCCGTTTCACCGTGAGGGAACTGAGTATAATGGCTACTTCGTGAGTGTTCAGTAAGGCTGAAAGCAGAACCAAGACCCCTTCAGCCCCCATGCTCTAGCCATTAAACCATGTTACCTCGGGAAAATTGTATATGTTAATCAGGGATGCTCTCTTTCAGAAGGTCCATCCTTTCAGATAAGTGTATTGTGTCTCCCAGCTGACACTGGCCGGGAGTTGATCTCTATCACTGCAAAGCAGCAATATAATTTTTGTTTCTTTTTTCTAGTTGTCTCCGCAGACACAGAGATATGGTTCTTGGACAGAGCTCTATATTGGCATTTCCTCACCAAAACCTTCACAGCCTATTACCGCCTGCTCATCACCCACCTGGGTCTCCCACAGTGGCAATATGCCTTCACCAGCTATGGGGTCAGCCCCCAGGCTAAGGTAAGACAGCAAGATCAGTCTTTCAAGTAAATCTGGACCAGAAAACACCTTTCTACCTTTTGAAAAGTGGTCTGCAGGCTCAGGTAGGCCCTCCTAGTGAGCCCTGGGGAAGCCCATGAGCCTTTCCTCTCTGGCATGTTACAATCATCTGCTTACGAGAATAAAGTCACTACTGTTGTGTTAACTCTGCTTTTTCACCTGAATTGAGCTCTGCCTTTGACCTCTGATAGCAGGTGGTGGAACCCCAGCTACTTCTGTGCTTTCTTGGCTCTGAAGCCAACCTCTACTTCCATGACTGCCATCAAGTGAAGAGATATAATGCCATTCATCCCCACAGTTATGTATGATTTGTATAGATCATCTTTCTAGGCTTTGCACAGAACAATAGCTCTCTGGGTGCACAGAACAAGAGCTCTGTGAGTGGAGAGGGGGGTCCAGGTAGACCTGGACAGAAGCCTAGAGGAGGACTATGAGCTTCAGCCTTATAAGAGGTACTAATCCCTTTCCATCCTCCTCGGTCACAAAGAGGTGCCCTGAGGAAATGGTGGCCAAAAGAGTAATTTAAATCCTAGCAGTTCCAGAAGTACTTGTGGGAGAGTGCAGCTTTCATGCTGTTCCCTGCTCCAGGTACGACCTGCTGGTCAGTCCAGTTCATTATTATTATTAAAATTGCTATTCTACTCTGCCAGAACCCTGCTGTTAGAGGCTCTTGCCATCCTCTGTGCTTGACTGGGCCTTCAACCCCAACCCAGCTTCCACCTTGTGGAAGGTCAGAGAATGGACCTGATAGCATTGCTGAACACAGCACATAGGCCTGTGCAATGTCTGTGCACGTTCGCAAGCTCTTGTGGGTCTCTGTCAGTGTCTTGCCCTTACCTCTGATCTAACTGCTGTATTGCGTGCATCAAAATTGCTCACTAAAATCACTGCCTGCTTCCTATCTCTTCAATGCCTGCAGAATTTGGCTCTTTGTGTTTCTGGGTTTTGCACTGTCATACTATGCTCTACCTTATCAGTCAAGGCTGCGTGCGTGGTATTCGAGTATATCCCTGGGCTCTGCCTTTCTGTAGCTTTCCTGCTAGAATATTTTGGTATGTTCAGTACATTCACAAACCTTAGTGAAATCACTCGTATATACCCTAGGCATTTCACAGCATCTATTAAATTATGTCCTTCTAATATGTTAACCATTATCATTTTTAAAAGTCTTTAAGGATGATATATTAAAGCCCTTTTCCATTATGCAGTGCATTAACTGATTGCCCTCTACATTTTGGTATCGATCTTCTGTTTATCTTGTTCAGCATTTCATTGAGGGTGGTTTCAGTGGGGTTTGTAATATCATATCCCCTACAGTTTCATTTCCTGACTTCGTGCAATGGATAACTGATAGGAAGAGCACTAAGAGATAGGGACTGCAGGGCATAGCATTATGGGGGCATTTGGGAACGAAAAAAATGTATTCTGGTCACTTCTAGTCATAAAATCAGGGAGAGGAGAAACAATATATATCCTTGGTGTAAAGAGTTAAAAAACCTGTACAGGATATGTGAAAGGTGGGAGGGAGGCTGTATTTTAAAAAGTACGACTAGTTTGGTTCTGTTTCATAAGCACTCCTAAATTCCAGATTTTGTTAATCCTTTTTGCTTCTCTGAAGCTAAATAAATGTGGTTTAGTTTCATCCCTTTTCCTTGCTTGTCCTCCTGTTGGATTAAGTCAGGAGTTGCTCCTACGCTGCAAGAAAGGTAGTGTTAGGTTTGTATCTGGTTCTCCTCTTGCCCTTCTGGAATGTGGAGCAGTTACAGGACTGTAGCTGCAGCTGGGACCATCCTTATCACAGGACACTTTGTGCAATCCAGTAAACTATTGCAAACAGATATGTGTTCCTGCTGGTATATGATTAAAACCAGGTCTTGGGGGTGAGGGGAGAGGAGGGAGGGAATGTCTAATGGAAGATTTTTAACATCCTCCTTCCTCACCATCCTGCCTTTCAGCAATGGTTTAACATGTATAAACCCATAACCATCAACACAGCTCTCCTTTCTGAAGAAGCTGACTCCTTTGTGAACAAGCTGGACCCCAGCAAGGTATTTAAAAGCAAGAGCAAAACTCCAGTGATCAAAAAGAAACCACCCTCCCAGCCAGCAGGCTCCCAAAAGAGCCATACTAGCATGACCTCCTCCAAGACTTCCTCACTACCTGGGAATTCTTCAAGGAAGCGAGATCCCCAGATCTGACCCTGGACAGCATTTGCAATAAGCTTTGATGTTCTCTGCAGAATCTGAGAGCTTCAGACCAAGCCCCTTGCTGTGCATGAGTAGATCTTCCCATGGAAACTACATTGTTGCATTTGCATGAAATATAACTACAATGTACTTTGACGTGGGAGGGAGGTAGATCCTGGTGGCTTTGCGCAAAAACCTTGAGACACTGATTTAATTCACTTCTGCTACTTGCAGCATGTACTTTTCAGAGGGCATGAAGTTCTTGATGTCACTGCTCTGTAGAGAAGCTGTTATTACAGTGCAACTACAGCCCTGAAATGAAAGTAAATGTAAGCCACTATTACTTTATTAGACCCTCGCTGAAATACAGTATGTGAGGCTATTTCTGCTGGCTCCTCTGAAAGAAACCTGCCCTGACCTCGCATGTTATGGGAGCAGGCTGGAACCCACAACACAAAGAAATATCTTTCACTTCAGATAGATAGACTCAAACTCTGCATTTCCCTGTATTCCTTACAATCTTCCAGCTCTGAGATTAACGGTATAGTGGGACCTGAGGTTTCTGTGTCCCTGCATTGGCCTAACCACTTGCTCTACAGCCTAGACCACTCCTTGGCCTTCATGCCATAACCTTTGGGATAGTGAGCTCTGTGTGATGTCCTCTGCAATGAGCCTGGCGGCAACAAGAAGATGCAAGAACCCTCGTTGCCTCTGCTTTCTCCTCTTGCGGGAACTGGCTGGGGGCTGCTGGGCCAGGGCAGCCACAGGTGTACAGTAGTGTAAGACAGGAGGACACCTTGATTTGTTACTCGTTCATTTGCCAAGCTAAGTATTCAAAGCAGTAGCTGTAAGACAGGAGGACACCTTGATTTGTTACTCGTTCATTTGCCAAGCTAAGTATTCAAAGAAGCCTTTGTTACTTATTAAGTGGGCAGGATCTGGCCAGGGGTCATTGAGATCCTACAGTCCTAGAAGACCCTGATGCTATTTTCTGTACTGTAAGTTTTTCAGGGTAGAACTGCACTTTAACCCATTCATTTCTGGTTTTCAATTGCGTTTGACTATTTCCATTAATTTTCTATGCCATCCAGTCTTCTTAGATATGCTGGAAACACATTGTAGCAGCTAGCCCGTTCTGTGCCTGAGTAGGGAATGCAAAGTCACCGTCTCCAAGTAAGCACTGATTATTTAAACAACAGCATATTTTATTTATGAAACACTTGCGTAACTGCATAAGACCAACCTACCTCACAGGGATGTTGTGAGGCTTTCACGAGTATTTATGGCCTTCGGAAAGACCAAACCACCCTGTAAGTGCTTAATAGTATTTTAATAAAGATTTGAATATTTTCCTCCAGAGTGACTGGGTATTTGAAGATGCATTTGGGAGTATATGCACAAGGATGTATGGTAATAGCAGGGTGCAGGCCGGATTGTTTTTTATGCAGTGAAGAAGGGAAGGGTTAGAGTGTCTTTACGCTGATCCCACCCTGAGCTACTCTGAAGCTCCTAGTTTAGTTCACACAGACCAAAAGTCTCAGCTGTATGACAGCAGCTCTGCTTCTGTCCTACGCTCACCATTCAAAAATCTGTGCAACCATCAGCCCCAGCTCTGCCATGCTTTTCTGGCTTCCAGCACTCCCTGCAGCCCACCCTCAAGTGTGGCTGCTCAGAGAGCCCTCCAAGGGTTGCCTGGCAGCTGCCCTCTCGCATCCCCTACACTAAAGAAAATCCTCTAATGCTCTTCAGCCCTCTTAAGATGATGTGCATCTTTTTCCAGGTGAAGGACCTGCTGTAACTGCTCTAGTAAGACAAGGTCAATTCAAATGAGGAAGCAGGGAGGTTAATTTCTGCCACCCTACCTCATGCCACAGTGGTACATTGATAGTCCCTTTATTTAATAGTGAGATGTGAATAATCAATTGTCAAAGCCATTAAATGCCAGTTTCTGGGACTGTGTGCAGCAGTGATGGTCTGTCACATCCTACCCTTGGAGACTCCTGTGTTGTGCCTATTTGCAGGATCCGACCCTGGAGCCTCAGTCATTTGCTTGACATATGTACCAGATTTGCTTAAGAACTTTCTAGAGGAGTTAAACTGTATCACCTGGCCTTCTGCAGGCACCTTCTGCTATTGTTTTGCTTCTGGTCCAATGCTTTCTCAGACTTATCAGGCTGTTGCAGGCCCTTTCGGTATTTCAGATGGAGGTGGCAGAATTCCTGCTGAAGCACAGCAGTCTCTTCCCACGTTTCTGGTGAAGTCACAGTGGAGAAAGGCTGTTCCTTTGTTTTATCATTTGGATGTGCTGTCAAAGAAGCTGTTATAATCCTTTCGTATACTGGTAGCTAAACTCTAACCCATCAGTAACAAACATGGTTCCACCATGCCAACATAGCACAAAACATCCCCTACCCTGTTCCAGGAGAATTGTACAAGGAATCGTGAGATCCTGCAGCTTACAAATTTTTCAGTGCTTGCTGAATGTTCAGATAAAAAAAGCCAAAAAGTGAAGAGCCTATTTCAGACTGTCAATGCCTTTGCTTTTCTTTGTGCTCTGCCAGAGTAGATGCTAGGGTGTCAAATTAGCAAATGGAAACAAATCTAAACCTCTGATTCATTAGTATAGTATCTAGCTCTTACAAAGAATATTATTGGTTGACATTTCTTTAAGCTGTTCCTACTACTGTGAAGTAGTATTTCCTGTGTTTTCACTGACATGATCCCCTGACAGCTTATTTCATTCCTAACTGTTGGATCTTATATTTTGGTTGCTATAGACTTATAGCTATCCAGAGTCTTGCAGCTCTGCTTTGCTTTTCTCTGGAGTGTGATTTTTCTTTTCTTTTTGATACATTTTTTACGCGGCGAGTTTGAAAATTTTCTGTGGGTCATAGACAAGTCTAGCCCTATCCAGGTCTTCCTAGTGTCTCAGAGACCCAGTTTGTCTGGACGAGCAGAACTGCTTTATTAAAAACTTGTCTCCCATTTCTCCATGTGCGGGGTGTAGGAAAGCGTAACTAGTAGTGTCATTGCATGTGCTGGTATCCATTCAGTTCCCTTTTGACTGTCAGTGCACATGGTCCAAGTAAGCTTTCCTTTCAGGCCCTTTCCTTGGGAGACATGGCTGTCACATCCTAGAAATCTCCACGTCTGTCTGTCTTTTCTCATTTCCACTTTCCAGAACGGGCTGATTGTGAAAATCAATAAAGAGTTTGTGGATTAAAACACCAAAAAGACTTCCCAGTGTTGGAGCTATGAGTGGGATCCACCACCAGCCGTGTCCAGCCCTGAAAGGAAACACAGAACAGGCTTTTGGTGAGCCAGACTGAAACCACTGCCCTGCTGCTGCACAGCATGAAGCAAGATGAGCTTAGACTGCTAGAGCAAGAGTGAGCTATGTAAGCAAAGGTGTCTAGTACCTTCCCACATACTGGCTGCTCTAGCAGCAGCTCCCGGAAGCTGTGAGTCTCCCATAGGTCCTATGCCATATCCACAAGCCCATTGCAAATCTCCTGCATACTCTACCATGTTTGAAATGAAGGGCAACTAAATCGCTCCTTAGAGCTTTTTGTTGATGTGGGGTGCAGTTCTATGCTAGCAAAGTTATCTTTCCTTGTAGGAAATAACTGTTCTGACAAGAGTTTGTTTTTCACTGCCAAAGAGCTGTCTAACTGAAAGTCTCAGGGAGTCTAAGGGCTTGATGCAGAATCTGCTCGGTCAAAGAGAGGATCTTTATGGTTTCCATGGGCTTCATATCACAGCATATGAAATCCATGAGCTCTCCACAACTTCGTGTATAGGAGATAGGTAGCTTCCACTATTGATAGACACAGAAAGCATAAGCGATGTGCGCAAAAAGGATCATGGAGAGTAGGGAAGTTAACTCAGAATTGCTTTCTAGGCCTGTGGTTTAACCATAGGATTCATCCTCCTACCAGGAATTACACTTTGCTGGATGCCTTACACAGATTAGCATTCAGCGTTCACGCTACCGCTACCGCTCGTAGCATCACACCATAGCCACACAAGCGCATAGTTGTTGTAGTGCTAGCAAAATGCGATTTGATTTTCAATTATTTCATCTTCATACGCTGCTTTAGAGAAAGCCAGGTGACTAACCTGACACAGTTGGCTTAATCAGATCCTGCATCCGTCAGCCTAATTGCTGGTGGTAGAGTCATTCTCTCTGTTGGCCTAGGAAACTAGCTCTGCACTTCCTGCAGGTTTCCTGCTTTCCTTAAGAAATAATCTATGGACTCCCAGTGAACGTTACTGCCAGAGAGATCCACCTTTACCCCTTCCCCATCTGCATTTCTTCCACCAAACTTTATAGAGAGGTCAAGCGCTCAATGATATTTTCTTCATTTCATGAAAATGGGCAGCAGGGACAGGAGAGAGACTCTACTAATGCCTTCACCATGGGAAAAGCCATAGCATGAGACCCAGTCCTACCAGATAGTAGAAGGTAGGGTTTCATCTCCAGATTCAGACACCTAAATTTATGAGAGCTATTTAGCAATCCAGCTGTAGCTACCTACTTTCAGGTCGTCTGAATAGTTCTCTGACTCTCTACTCACTGCAATAACCAGCTAGATCTCTACTCACATGTAAACTGTGTTGTAGGTGCCTAAATTTAGATAGCTGAATGTGGAGCTGAATCCCGTGCTGGAGATTTGGTGTACCCCAAATTATGCGTATGCCACACACGGGGCTCTCCTATGTACAACCCCACTTATTGTAAAGGGAGAGTCCACATTGCAGGCATAGTGTCATTTGGTCGAAAAAAATTGCTTCATCACAAGACCTACTGGGAATCAGGCTCGAACTCCAGTTGTACGTAGGCTCTATGACTGTTTTATCTTGGATTTATCTGCTCTCTTTATGAGCTTGGCAGTATAAAAGCCAAAACAGGTCACTCACGTGAAGACGTCCATTCCCCAGCCAGCAATGGCAGTGAAAATCCTTGGGGGCAGGTCCCGGGAGGGGTTAATGGCATAGCCTGTGTTCATTCCCATCGCCAGGCCAATGCCTAGGACCAGGATACCCGTCAGCAGGGCCTGCGTGCCCTTCAGGGCTCCGTTATTTTTCTCATCATGGATAACTAGAATGCCCAAGAACAGCATCACCGTCGCTATAAACTGCAGGAGCAGGAAAGGGAAAGCAGGTCAGTAGAGAGAATGGCAAAGACAAAAGGATCGTGCTCAATAGAGAAGTGGTGACTTCCCAGATTGGAAAAGCAGGTGGGATTCAAGCTCTGGTCAAGTCAGGGAGGACACCAATGTTATTCAGTCTTCATAGGCGGTCCTAAAAAAAGGCTTGACCTAATTCCCAGAAAAAATGTCTCTATTTCCTCGAAAAAAATGCTCTAGGAGAGGACTAATTTGAACTTTGCAGAGCTGTCACCTCTCTCCAAACTTCAAGTTAGGGACTCAGTTAATTTTAAGTACATCTCAGCTGATAGAGGCAGAGCTGTAATAAACTGTGCTAATAAGGCGAATTTGTTTCAGTCTAAAGGGAGAGACTTGTCAACTCAAACTGGGTACCAGATTCTCATCTGGGAAACTGAATCTCCCATCTGTCACTATGCGTAGCTGACATTCTTAGATCTGCACTGCCCAACATGTCAGGGACTGGGATTTGAATAGAGGTGACTGCACTTGTCTCTTTCTGCTTCAGAGAATGCACCTGGAGATCCTTGGATTGCTTGCAATGATGACAGGAAGAACAGAAACCTGTAGCTCTTGGCAACACCTTGTCATTTGCTTTCTTATGCAGCAAGGACACTGCATGCTCCATAGAAGGCTGAGCAATCGGGTGACCATCTGGAGGCTCTCCAGCTCTCACCATGCTTCCCTTCATGGCCAAGCAGAGCTTCATCAGCTTAGAAACAAAAGCATGGGCTTTCTCAGACTCGAATTAAACGTGAATGTGCCTTCTGCTGTAGCACTGCAGAGTATGGGACACACTCGGGAATAACTCCAAATCCTCTGAGGCATCCCCAAAGGAGTAAGTACTCGAAGCAGGTGGAAACAATATCAGGATGGTTTTGCTCCATGACAGACTCAGCAGAGCAATAGTGGGGATTACAATGACTAAGTATATAGCTGTCTCATTGGCTTGCTGTGCAGGTGGTTTGCACTCACTGTCAAGCCTTCTGATGGAAAATCTAATGGTAAAAAACAAAACTGAGAGTGGTCTTAATATCTGAGACAAGCTTTTATCCCTCTCTTATTTCTGGACATCTTGATATTGTGTTACGTGCTGGGAATAACCTGTATTCGTTGCCAGCTGGGCTGTTCAAACCCCCAGAGGTTCAATCCAGACAGGCTGTATTCCTGCAAAGTCAGTCCCAGGCCACCTGTACTGGTTAAGGGGTAGCCAGGAGAGCTACCTGAGAATACAGAGGGGGTGTAAGATCCAGGACAGGAAGAACAACTCAGGGTATTGCCCAGAAGCCATGGGAGATGGTTCATGCCATTCCTCAGCTTCAAATTTCCCATTGCTTGGGCTGAGTACAAGGGGAAGTGCCTATAGGGCACTCAGACTGAGCTGAGAAGCAGCCTGGAAGTGTTATCCTTTAGGCTTGGCATTTCTCCTGAGACAAGCATGGGGCTGGAAGGAGCAGGTAGACCTTGGCTTGAGGTCTGATTTGCAGTGACTTAACCCACCACACGCAGAAAAGGGAGTAGATTTGGCCCCACGGCAGCAGACTGTATTGAGTTGGCTGGAGGAACTGAGTCCTTCAGTCTCCCACGTCATCTCGAGGGACCATGCAGATGAGATCTCATGCTTGGAACTTTCCTCCCATTAATGCCCTCTCCAGCACAGCTTGTATCAACACAGTGACCTGTACTGGCCATACTCTGGGCTAGAATCCTGACCGAATCCTCCCCTGACCTAGGCTACTCACCCAGCCTGAGCACATGGTTTCTGTGCTCCTGCTCCCCTTGGACCAACTTAGCCACCAAGCTGCCTTGAACCCTACCTGCAGCCAGATGCTTCTAAGGACAGTGGTCTCCTTGGAGCAAGGGTTGTGCTTGGGTATGCACACTTAGCACGGTGAGGCCTCTGTAGCAGACTTGCAACAGCACCTATTGCCATCCACCTTCCCCAAGCACTCCACAGCTGTACCCACTGACCTCTGTGAGGAAGCCTCCCAGCAAGGACATGTATGGAGCAGGGTAAGTGGAGAAGATCCCCGCTGTGGCAGTTGGTCCCGTCACTGTAAAGTTCCCCTTGGTATAGTCATACAGTGCATCTAGGAGAAACGGAGTTAGGGGAGTTAGCACAGCAGCCCACAGAGTTCATTGCATGCAGCATGGACAGATGTCTACCCACTGCAGCCAGTGCAAACACAAACAGGAAAAAATGCGAAAGACATCACCAGAGCAACACACCCCTTCCAGAGCATGGTCTCACTTTGGTCCACAGTTGCTTCTTTAACCTGTCAGCTCCCCATCCCTTCTCTGGGGGCCTCATGGAGGCTGAATGCTCATATAGCCCTGGGAGGCTTTCCTCCCTCTGCCCCAGCAGGGGCACTGGAGGACTTGCAGACCCTTAAAAACAAAACACTGCCAAAATGCAGCTACCAGCCTTGAGGCAGGTTTTGGTAGTGGGAATGCCCTGGGCCCTGCGTTGGCCTTGAGCTGTAATGATCTGTCTCACTAATCAATAGCTTGCCTGCCTCACTCAGACATTACGGTGGGTACGATAAAGGGAAACATTTTGGTGAACTGTGAGCTAAGACTGAAATGATGTCCACATCACCGCCCACCCCTGCCATGATAAAGAAACAACCATACCGTAGTAGATGCCAAAAACAGTAGCTGCTGCCAAAAAGGAGCCCAGGAACTGGCCGAGCAGATAAACTGGTAACTTTTTCCAGGGGAGGTTGCCTAAAAGGCAGTGAGTGAGGGTAATGGAGGCGTTCAGATGAGCTCCTGCAAGATCACAACAGAAGAGAATGACATCTGCTCTGAAGGGCCTGTTCTGGAGCATGTCTCCCATACCACAGGTAGCAACCCTCTCCCAGCCACGATGGCAGGGTCTCCCTCCTGCACAAAGCTGACCCATTTTCCCTGGAGACAGGGATCCTTCTAGCCAGCTTGCTCCTTCATTGACTTGCATTTCAGATTGTCATTTACACCTGCAGTCTGAGGCTTCCACCCTGACCAAAGCATGTAAGAGTGTATGAGCTCATGGGCTGCTATGGGCCCAAACACAGGCAGGCTGAGAACTCCTGCCTGACTCTGGAGCAGCTTTTAGCTCTAGTTCGCTGAGCACGGTGTGGATCTCCCCTGTGGTTTCCCCGGGACCAGTTAAATGCTTGCCCATCACTTTATTGAGCAACTCACAGTGGTGGCATCTCCTCCAGCTGGGGTACTGCTAGCTGGGTGACTGCAATATCCCTGCATGATGCAGGGTACAGAGCACCTAGCCTTAGTCCTCTGAGAGTTCAATATCCTCTGCTTAGCACACTGTAGACCACAGGCTGCTCCCAGAAAGCAGGTCATCTTGCTTATCAGAGACACCTCTCCTGGCATGGAATGAGTCTCCTTCTATATGGGCTTCTCTCCATTCAGCTTAAAGGGAGCCCAGACCTTAGACGCATCACCCACCTTTTATATAGTTATGTATATTGGTTACAAATCATATCCTAAATGATGGAACAACCTCTGAAAACATCTGATAGGCAAGGAGAGTCTGATTCTGGCAGAGCTGAGTGCCCCGAGCTAATGGCAGATGCAGGCTCTTAGCACCTCTGGCAGCAAGGCACTAGATGCTAGGGTAACAAACTGAAATCAGCCAGTGAGGCCCGCATATCTGTATGTTTGTAACGCAAAACTCTGTACAGGGCTGTCAGCAGGGGCTCAGCTGAGCTCTTGGATATCACTGCATTGAGATGGCTTAGGAGGATGGCTGTTCCTGCCCAGACCATGGTTATGCCCACTGGTCCAGAGCAGACATGGTCCTTCATTTGCAGAGTTTGTAATCTTAGACTGCATTTCGTTAAACCTTTTAGCACCTGGTTCTCATATAGCACAAGAGCAGTTTTCCTTATTTTGAGGGAACATTTTCTGTGGTATTTCCATGGTGCTGTTGGAGAAAGATTGAGTGGATCCAGGTTCTGTTCTGGCCTAGGCCACATAATTCTTGTGTGCTCAGCACAAATCACTTCTGTTCTCCAGCCCTAATCTCCCCACAAGTCCAATGGAAATATTTGCTTTGTCCCGTCTAGTAGGTTTAAACTCTGGGCATCAGTAAATGTTACAAGCTCAGTGGGCTTCTCCTCCTCCAGACTCACAAAGGTCTTATCAAAGTGCAAGACAGAGTGAGGTTAAAGTGCATGTGCTGCCTGCTACAGTCCCACAATCACAACTGAAACTGGGGGACATCCCTTTTTCTTCCATCCTCTAATTCCTTGTGAGCATGAACCAGCCATTTCAGTGATCACAAGAAGCATCTTATGATGCAAGTGAAGCCAAATCACAATGCCAAGGAGCCCTGCTGCTGGCTCCAGAACCCATCTGTTGCTGGCTGAGCTGAGACCTCATCTCAAACGTCGCCATGGACTGAAGGGACCCCCTTTGCTCTGCTCGCTTTCCCCAGGGTGAATTCACCAGCTCCAAATGGACAAGGAGACTAAGAGCTGACTCATGTGGAACAAGTTTCTTTTCAAAGCCATCCCCAGCTTTGGGCATCTCTCTTCTCCCACAGCTCGAGAGCAAGGACTTGCTTTCATTTTCTGCCTGCTAGAGCCCTTATCTCTTCACTTGGGGCGGATGAATGCAGAAATTGCACAAGGCAAGAGGTAATGCTCTGTCGTATGAGAGATACCGTCCCATAGGCCTGAAATACCACCTTGTGTGAGTGCAGAGTGTGCTTGTGTGTGTGGATATGTGTGCATGGGTGTGGATGATAAGGAGAAAATTTGCATATCATTCCTTATTGCAACATCAGCAGCAAGATCTCCTTGGCAATAAATGATTTACTTCCTCATGGGTCATACTGGCAGCATGTTTTCCAAACTTCTTATCTCCTTGGGCATATCCCAAGTGCCTAATGTGGGCACTGCTGAAACCTTTCTCTGATGACTCTGACAACACCAGATGGCTGAATCTCTCCCATTGTCTCCGTCCAACTTGCCTTACAGGTGAGCAAGGAGTCCCCAGAATACCCACTGTGTTTCCTGCACCACTTTATCAGGGCCCTGACTGCAGGAACAGGCTCTAATTACCTGTAATGTGCAACCTGGAACATCATTTCTGTGATCTTTCTCTGTAATCCTCCTCTGCAACCTCTTTCCCCACCACCACCACATGTGTTTGGCTGCTGTGATCAAAGTCTGCTCTGATTTGGTACAGCTGTGTAACCCTGAGTCAGACAGCTCTCAATGCGACTGAGTTGTGAGCAGGAGCTGGGAGAAACCTCATCTGGGGCACCTACCCATGCATCCTCTATCTCGGCTCGGGACATGCCTTTAAGATCAGGCTCTCAACATAGTGTAGGTATGCTGTGCCCGCCCTTTACTTTGCTGATCCTGATCTTGCCTTGCCATCTCGACTCTTTGGCTTGACCTCAGGCCTGCATCATCCCTGCGGACTTGTCTGGCAATCACAGGATCGCAAGGCTGACCCTGGTAGTCACTAGTGTCACCAGACCTGCCCTGCTCTTCTTGTTTGGGCATGGTGGAACTGCCTTTCTTGTTGGTGAGGCTGCTGCTCTGCTTGCCATGCTGCCATCCGCAGCTCCACAGCCCAGTCTTGCTGCCCCCTGACCTATGGCCTTTGCAGGACATAAAGATCTCCTGTGCTCAGGTGTCCTACTCACCAGAGATTCCTCCAGCTGCATGGATCCCCAAGGTGACACCAATGCCAAATCCCAAATTGATGCTCAGATACTGCCCAAATTCTCCTCGTCCTAAAGTCACTTGAGCAGCAGAAGACAAGCCAAAGAGCTAGTGAATGGAAAAAGAAAGAAAGAAAGGAGTGTTAAAAGTAGTACTACTGCTGTGGTGGACTGTGATTCCTCGGCACTTTTTCAGTAATACTAACAAATTTCCAAAGGGTCTCACAAGTGGAAAGACTCTAAGGTGCCCATGGCCAGGAGATCAAACAAGAGTGAAGCCCTCCTGCAAAAATCGAACAGGTACGTGGGTATTCCTTAGTGGTGCCAGATGCTCTGGTCTGAGGCTCAAATGAGATGATTCAGAGTCTTGGTGAAGGCCTCTCTGCATGGAGTCAGGGGCATGAACCCAGCAACAGAGTCACAACAGACATCTCAAAGACAGCAGCCCAAGTCGGATGGAATGAAGGCTGGGCAAATTCTTATTTTCTTTTCTTTCTTTTCTTTTTTTTTTGTTTTTTCTTTCAATTTATTGTCTAAAAATGTAGTTTGGTCAAGATAAAGCTGTTTGCCAAACTTGACTCTAATTTTGGTAACTTATTCTGGCCAAAAACAATGAAGGAAATTCTGATTTGACTTTTCCTTTCAATGCATATGTTTATGAATTGAAAACAGCCACGGTTTCATTATTTTTTTAGTGACTAAAAGGCAACCAGGAAAAAGATAAAAAGAAATGTAAATACTTCATTCCAGCAGGAAAATACATATTTAAGAAATTACTCTGTCCTGAAAGTAAATATAGTTAACTCTTTTAATGTGCTCAGAGGCTGGAAAAATCATTTATTTTCACAGCTCTTACACAGAAATCTACAGAATGACAACGCTTCTTTTGAGGTCTCTGCCTCTCAAACTGCTTAGGGCTTAGAGTATCCCGTACCTTAAACTATACCAGTGTTTATTCAGGGAAGACAAGGACCAGGTAACATACCCCTCAAAGAAATAAGTCAAAATGTTCTGCAGCACCTATATTTCTGCTTTGGGCTGTCCTGTTTTGGCTCAGATCTTTACTGCTGTCTCTGGATCCAAGCTTCATCTCATGCACCTGCTCTTCCTCTTCCCCTTCAAACACCAAAATCCCCTTCCCCAGAGATGCTATTCTCACCTTTCTCATCTCTTCAGACCTCGCTGCATGGTCCACATAGGGTCACAGCCTGCACAGTGTTTGCCTCAGCAAAAACCACCCAAAGCGTTCGCCGGGATGTCCTCCAGCATCTGCAAAGCCCTTACAAAACTCTTTCCTGCTTATTTCTGAGCCTTTCCAAAGGCAGGTCCAAGAGAATCAAATATGTAACAAAGGAAACAAGTTTTGATGCTATTAAAGCCGAATTGAAACTTTTTTGTCCTGAAAAAAGTAAGAGACAGGCCAAAGAAGCTATTTTGCAGCACAGAGCCAAACCTCTGGTGATTTCTTCTATTCTCATGACCCCCAAATAACCTTTGTTTTTCCTACCTCCCCACTCCCAGTGCCATTTTCTCCAGCTGCCTGCTTCCCTCCTTTATGAACATTGCCTGTCTATTGAAACAGGAGCCCCTGTCCTGGCTAGGTGCTATTGTCCAAATAACAGACAGCCCGAGTCCTGGAGATGCAGAGAAGACGTTCCCAGGTGCAACAAGGGGCAGGGGGTTGCCAGAGAGGCTACCTTTGGATGCTGGTTGTTATTTGCCACCAACCGTTGATGGGGCTGGTTAATGTGCCGTATCCTTCCTCCCACTCTATAATCTCATGGAGCTCAGTGAGAGAAGAGTCAGCATGAGTTGCTGGCCCCAAACTCTCTCTTGAACTGTCAGAGTCCTGGGCACAAAGACAAGAATTCTTCAGAATCCTCCTTGGGCTGCTACCCTGGCAGCACTCCCCTGAAGTTGTTCTTTATCAGCCAGGAAGTTTTGCCACCAGAAACAAAGGTGATGGAAAAGGAAAAATATTTACTTAGCTCCTGCTGAGGAGTCACAGATGTCTCTACTCTGATGTCCAATGTGTGTAGAACGACTTGTGCAGTAGGAATGGATTTCAAGGGACTATATACGCAAGATGATGTGATAAAATGCAAGTATCCTTTGCACATGCGGTTATTGTCCTTGAAAAAAGCACCTTTGTCTGTGCAGACAGCTATGTCAAAAGGTCCCCATGCTTATGGAAATCTCCAAGTATAAATTATTTGAGCAATCCTCAGCCCTTCTGTGGCAGCCTCTGTCCGAACTAAACTGCCTCTCTCTGCCCAGAGTTGCTTACAGGCTATGTCCAGGTATAATAAATTAGCAATGGCAATTACTGGACCTTTTCAGAGAGAAGATCTCGTTTTGTTGTGATGGGTTAACACGCTGAGGCTCTGATCCCAGCAGGGCACTGCACCAATACCAGTGCTCAATTCTGACTGCAAAGCAGTCACCCCTGCCTTCCTTGCCCTCTCCCCCAAAAACCTCTGAAGCAGCCTGGAAGCGCAAAACCACTTCACTTCACGGGCAAGAGATCTCTCAGGCAAGGGAAGAGTTTTTGTATGATTTGAGATAAATGCTATTAATTTGCCAGCATAAGACAACTGAAGACAAATTCCTGGCATGCTTTACACCTGGCAATTATGTTTCCTAATGGTGGGTTGTGGCTCCAGAGAGTTTCACAAGCGTTAATTACCCTGGCAACCCCAACAGGAAAATGAATGAACGCTGTTCTCGTTTCACAGAGACTGTCAGTGGCAAAAGAGCTGAGGATCTGCCCGCTGCTCTTCTGAATCCTGCGCAGGATCTCAGGTAGGCATGAGTGGTAGCTGCTCAGCCTGCACGATCCCCTTCAGTACCACAGGGAGAAGAGCACCAATTAGCTGCCTGTGAGTTTAAGGGGGTTTGTCACAAGCATTGTGTTGTCCTATCTGACCAGACACCGCTGTTTGTTTTCATTCAGAGTCTCATCTTTCTTTTTTCCTAGAAGAGAACTGGAACAGCCTGTTCATCCCGACGTGTTTCACCTTCTCTCAGTGCCCCACCTACCACTTGCATTGCCTTTTTCCTCCGGAAGGTTTTCAACAGATTGTCTACCCTGATGCAAAGCTGCCATGGGACCAGAGGAGAGGGTTAAGCAGTAATAACCAGCTGATGAGCAACGCTGAGGATGTGGCAGGAAACCACTGCACTTACAGACTGCTGCTGCAAATATTTACATTCTCACCCCCCCCCACACACACATACACAGACATGCACATCTGGGCCCATCTCCTCCTTACCATCAGGATGAACATCCCCAGTGCTTCTGCCAGTAGCTCCCTGATGGTTCTGTTATGAACTGTGAGCGCCTTCTGAATTTTCTCCAGCATTCTGCTCTCCGGCTCCAGCGTGCAGCTGCGGGAGCTCCTGTTGTGAGAGCAGACTTCATTGCGCTGAGCTAAGTTACCCTTTGAAACTTGGCAACCTCCTTTCACCCTCAGACACCTTCACTCATTTGGTTAAAGATGAACAAGCCAATAAAATAGCAGCCAGCTTTAAAGTCTCTCTCATCTGCCATCCGTTTAAATCTGAATGGTGAAGATGCAACATTTCTGCTGCCAGTGCCTTGCAAGCTCTGCACCTCTGCCCAGGAGCAGTGTGTCTCCAGAGAGATGGAGCTGTAAACAGCCTCACTGTGTTATTAAAGTACCTCATTCTCCATAACCTTTTCCACAGGCACAGACAATAAATAGGAATTTTGTCTGTGCTCTGCATTGTAACCTGCTGGCTGGTGGCTTGGTGCCGTTCTCCTTTAATGAGTGGGATTAGGACTGTTTGCCTGCACTTTGAAGGACTATCTTGCTCATGCTTAGCGGGCAGTGAGGATGCTCTGTCTGGAGCAAGTATACACCACTGTCCATGGTCAGGAAGCAGAGAATGGCTGTAGAGTTGCTACAGGTTGAACATTTGATCTCCCAAGACAGTTCTGCAGGTTGTGTTTCCTTAGTTCAGCAGCCGGGACTCTTTTCTTCAGCCACAGCAAGGCTGCCAGAAATGCTCTGCCCGGTTCTCTGTTGCTCTGGGTCCTGCTGCACCATGCAGCTGGACACACTGACTGCACCCCGTGTGCACAGCTCTAGTCATGCTAGTGCAGAGCCTCCTCACCACACCCTCCCTCCTGTCCTCTCATGTGGCACCAGGAGAGACCTGTCTCTGGTGATGATCCCTAGAGAAAAGCTAACAACTGTGTAGTTTGCAGAGCGCAGTGCTTGCATGGCATAATGCCAGCATGTAGTTATGGCAGGAACAGGGAATTAGTGTAAGGAATAAACACAGCTTCACACCTGGATCCCAGAAATAAGAGATGGATGTCTTTGCTCTCACCTGGGTACCAGAGCAGAGCCCTCACTCTCCCACACTGAACAGTAAAATCTCAACCTTCTGATTCCCTCTGTTTATCTTCCTGCCTACCACCTGCAATAATGCTCTTACCCCACCACTGTAGAAATTTTTTAATACCTTTTCAATCACTCTTTGTTCAACTACAATCTATTAAACCCACTGAGCTCTCAGGGACCTTTTTCCATGAGCCTTGTCCAGTTCTTTGCTGCTTTTCTTCACTTTCGTCTAACCCTGCTGCGGTTTCTAAGTATCTGTCTGAAGGGGATGTGACACACAGCTCCGGAAGAGGCACAAGCAGCTTCATGGATTGGGACATAGTGTTCTGCTAACTCTGTCTCTGGTGATGCCTCACGCTGTCCTACTGCTTTGCAAAAGTTCATGAACTTTTCTCTCACCCGCAGGACATTGTGCAACTCTGTGGAAGAACCTAGGAAGCTATTTCTCCTCTCTTCTCCATAGATGATTTTCTACATTGCAGCAAGGAAGGTTTTTATGGACTGGGACAAGCCCTCCTCCAGCAACAAATTAGTTATTGATCTCATTGAACTGTCTGGCTAAATATACAGTAAATTACTAGGCTGTCTGGGATATCATTTAATCATGAGGGATGATGATCACATTGCTGGAAAGGGTGCTCCTACAGTACCTTCCTACTTAGAAAGCTTTTTCTCCTATGGGGTTGTGAGCCATAGTGTGTCACAGAAAAAGGGACAAATAGATCCTTCCAGGTCACTTGATTCTCTGCCATGCAAACATTTATTAGTGGCGCACACAAATGTGAACCTGGGAGTGCCAATCCAGGGCAGTGAGGGGAGCCTGGAGTTTCTTCTGCACGTGGTAGTTTCCAGCTGAGATGTAAAGCTGAAGTCCTGGCATCAGTGTGTATTGGAGTTCACACAGCATTTCTGAGACGAATGTGAGTGTGAATCAGTCTGTACACCCCATATCTGGACCTACAACTTTGGTTTTCATTCCTAGATCTCAAGGGGCCTTTCAAGTAGACGCCTTCATTTTACAAACAAGAAAGCAGCTGCATTGTCTCTGACAGGTTTTGTACCATTTTTGAACATAACTATAGGTACCTATATATTCTAATTTGGACTGAGAAGTGGACAGGCATTTTCCAGGAGTGCTGGGCTCCTGCGGACCTGCGCTCATCTTAGGCAAGAAGGAGATCGCAGGTTCCAGTGGAAATCTTTGATTTAATCATTACATTTGAAGCACGATTACCGAAATCACCAAGTGCCCTAAAACTGTAACGTGCTTCTAGGGTAGCCTTTCCCAGTATCTTTTTCTTGTAGACAATCAGGCAGAAAAGGAGTTTGATCCTGGGCCAAGGGGCACACGTGGAGCGTTGGGTCAGCTGAAGGGATCAAGAGTGGTGCCTTCGCGCTTACAGCATAATGCAGCCCGTGGTCCAGCACCAGACTGTTTAGGACGGCCCCGTGAATCTCAGTTTGAGGAGTATGGCACTGGATGCACTTCTCGCCACTGTCTGTCCTCTTACATAGATGGTTCCACAAGGTGGCACTGAGACATTAATTTCCCCCTTAAAACTGTTTAGACAAGATCCTGTGCTGGCTGCTGAAAAATGTCTGACTCCTTTATTTTGAGGGTTCTTCTGGTCATTTTGTGCATTAAAGAAAGGCAATCTGCAAAGGAGCGTAACAAAACAAATACCTTTCTCTGACTCCTGTAGGGCAGAGTACCTCTGCTCTAACAGCATGCAAAACCAAAGTGTTTAAGTCTGAGCCTGTCACCCTGCACTTTCTTTATGATCAACAAAGAGAAATAGGCAGCTCCATAGGGTGATTCGTCCCCACCTAAAATAGGCATCTGAGGCCAGTCTTGTGAGTCACTCCTGCAGCTGGCAGTTTCCCTCCAGTGTCACCACTGGGGGCATGAAGTGATCAGCTCCAACAGGCACACCTACACAGCAGGGATCCGATGCCAGGTGAGCTGGACTGCCCTTACTATCTACATCCAAGTGTAATGATCATGAATGAGCACAAACAGCCATCTGAGTCAGCCAAGGGCTGGAGATGGAAGATCTGCTGGTCGCCCAGCATCACATGTTCATACCTCTTGGATGGTTTCACATATCTGTAAGGCTGATGAGGCTCTCTGGGGTCACCAAACAGAGTCTCCTACTAACACAAGCAGCCACATCACACCATCCCTCATGAGCTGACCCCTCTCCATTTTATGAGTAAGCGCCCCTACTCCTTCTGGTGGAAGTCTGTTAGTAGAACTTGCTGCTCTGGAGATTAGAAACTTTCTTCTAATTTCCAGTCAAGCACATTCTCAAACCTCTTTGTTTATGTGCCAGCATTACCTCATCACAGTCATTAACTCATTTCTTACAGATGCTATCGGATAAGATTTTCCAGGGGACACACATTTAATCTTTAAATGATCATCCAAGAAAAGTTTTGTGTTTTCTCAGAGTAATCACTTCCAGGCTCCCAAAGCATGTCCAGTCTTTCTGGATAAAAAGAGCCCCTGTTGCTCCCAGACTTTATCACTTTGGGTTACTTTGGAGTTCGTATTTAGCTTTTCACATATAGAGGGGAACAGAGTGCTTCCTGACTGAACACGAAAAACATCCCAGGAAATCCTTCGCACCACAAACAATCATCTCAGGAATTGGACAAGCCAGACACACAAAAATCCCCCACTTAAAGTTAGGAATTAGGTGTCATCAGTCATCTCCCAAGCTTAGCCCATTAGGAAAACTGCTCGCTCAAACACTCTAACAGCTATGCAAAGCTGTATGTTAGCAGGAGACAAGCTCAGTCCAGGCTGGTACATGTCACTACTGAAGTCAGTGATATAACTCACACTGACAGGATGGAAGACCACAGAACACCCTCACCACTCCACATACACAGGCATTCTTTAATTTTCAGCAGAAATGATGTTCCACGTGGTCCTGCAGACAAGGTAGGTCTTGTTAGAACAGCATTAGCTGCTCACGTTTAGCTCTGTGCCATCTCCAGTGTTTACTTTGACTTGCTCACATACGGAAACGTCACTCAGCGTTGATCCTACAAAGATTTTGCCATGTTTTCCACTACCCGTGAAGCAAAGACCTGCTAAACCAAATCCATTTTCTTCCCTAAGAAGACAAGTGTGCTGTCAGAGCTAGTAATAAAGGTCTGAGGTTTTGGCTCAGTGAAGCCCCACTAACAGTGTTGGTGTTGACATATATCATACAGAAGAGCTAGGGAAATAGCTCCCGCAGGTCCCACCAGGGCAGCACTGGGAAGGCTGAGGTCCTGCGGACTCCAGGGGAGTCGCGCTTCTGTGAGCAATAACTTCTCTGTTTCAATTTGACAGCGCACGTGTTTCCTCCTCACCCAGGAGTTCATTTTTCTCTTATTTGTGCTAATCAACAGCTGGAATGTTGCCACTCCATTAGCTTCAGTCCTGCTGGTAGAACATTAACTTTTTACTAGAGGCTGAAAGGAGCATTAACAAACAGCACAGCAGAGGAGCTCCTCACTGTGGGATGAGGACAGCTTGCTCCATCCTCAGACTAAATGAACACAAGATTACTCCTGGCACCAAGACATCCCCGTGCTCCTTTGGGAAGCAAGGCCAGACGCTGATCCCAGCAGGAAAGGGCTGCTGAGCCGCATGTCCATGGTCACATTTCCTGACCAGGGATCACTCAGATTGTGCTAACAGGAGGGTTAAAGCTGCCTTAGCTCCCTTCTCCTCTGCAGTCATCATCTGCATGTCCAGGTCTCACAGAGACTCATGCAACAGCTCTGATATGACCTTAACTGTCTAGGACGAACATCACTTGATAAATCCTATACATCTGCATCACACTGTCTCACATTAATTTTGTCTTTCTCCTCTCATTTACAGCTGTCAAGCACTGAGCAAGTAGCAGATGCACCTGATATTTGTCTCTAAGCAGATGCCTTTGCTCTCTGTACTATTACGTACCTTCCCATTCCTAGGACACCAGTCTCCAAGGCCTTTCAGATCATCCTGAATGTCATCACCCCTTGCCTCGAAGCTGGCCAAACATCCAAACATCCCATCAGCACACCTGTCCCTTCTGCACTGGGCACACCAATGAAACGCTGGAGGCCATCAGAATCGGGAAGGGCCGTAGAGAACTGCACCATCCACTTCCCCTGTCAACGCAACCCACTTCACAGTGCCTCTTCCAGTTACAGCCTTCCGCATCTCAGCTGAGAGCTGATAGAAAGAGATGCTAAGGTTTCTGCCTCCCACCTGAGAAGCAATATGTGCAGGCCCCCTACAATTCATACTCATTTTCTACACACTGTTATAGATCCCTTTTCTGTAAAATGAGGCTAGCTCTTACCTAGTCAGGCAGAAGCGAGTTTGGAAGGGTCTATCAGACGTGTGCGGTGATATGAAGATGGGAGTCTCTTGCAGTCTGCAACCCTCTGTTTCCCTCACGGAGGGCATAGGTGGGGGGGGGGGGGGGGAGTCAGAGCCTCCCTGCCCCAGATTGCTAAAGCTATCTCAATGTTAGGTAATCCCTGAAGCAGCAGTGTCAGCATGAGGAGAATTACATGGCTTTTATTGCTTGTTAAAAGTAGAGCATGGTTTCAGAGCTGTCTAGGAAGGGGTCACAAGGGGTCGGTCTCCCCATAGGACACATGGGGGCCCCTGTGGGCACTGCAGGTGCCCATTAGAACATGGGGCTGGTGTCATTGTTGGGTGACAGAGTGAAGAACTGGGTGTCCAGGACACCTGGTTTCTCCCCCAGCCCTGCCCGCAACCCCCTGTCCCTGCCTACCCCACCACCAAGTAGGGACAACCATACCCCCGTACCCTCCATGTGCACTCCTGCCTCCACCCTGCCTCTCTTCCCATCCTTTCCCCATCCCTCACTGCTACCTGTAAGCTGAGCCTTTGTCTTCTCCTGCAACTTGCTCCCTTCTCTGCTCCTCTGCTCTCCTACTGCCACCTTGACGCCCATTGCCAAGATGGAAGGGGCCCCGGATGCCTGAACAGAGGAGGGGGTGGAGCACCTGGAGGTGGAATTAGGGGTGCTCCTTGGGAGAAAGTGGGCACTTGTTGGTCACAGCCTGTTTTCGAGGAGACTTACCCCATTGTCTCTTGTGCAGGCTGGGAGTTTGCACCTTGTAAATGTCCTTCTAGACTTCAGCAGCTGCGTGGGAAAGGCTACTGCAAAAGCATGGGATTCTGTCGGCATCTCCCAGGGTGTGTGCTGGCGTCACTCTAAGGGAAGAATCTAGGGTGCTTAAGATGAGCTGTAATGTTTGCTCTCCTTGCAGACTTCACAGCAAGACTCGCTTCAGGAAGGTGTCTTAGCTCATGCGCCCTCTCTTGCCTGCACCTCAGTCCCCCAGAACAAGCTTCAGTGTTGTGTCCCAAGTGCTTCCGGCTCCCACTGTGTAAGGCTAGAAGGAATTGCAGTGCGTTCATCAGCTGTGGCTGCATTTCTCTACCAGGGATGTAACCCTGAGCTTCTCACACAAACCACTTTGAACCTCAGGGACTGGCAGAGCAAAGACTTTTGAGGAAGGCTAGAATCAAGAGGGGACTCCGTTGCTTGTGGTTGCAGAAATCCCCAGACCAGTTATTTACTGGGATGGGGGTAAACCATACGAGCACACTGCTAGAGCTGCAGCCTTCTTCCTTTGCCCTTCTCTCCCTTCTCCCCATCTGCTTTTCCAGGGCCACATACACACAGGGCATCCCTCATCTCATGGCTTTACCATCCAGGCAGCTGCTGCTCCTCTTAGCTTTTTGGACAGAACTGGGTCATTCGCTGTGATGATTTTTGAGGTACCTCACTGGTTTCAATCTGTACAAAACTCTTGACCCAGTAAAGTTGAAAGCCTCCCCCATTCATGCATATAGTGCATTTTACAGAGAGGGAGAAACTGAGGTAGAAGGATACTTAAGGTCTTGGTGAGGATCACAGGAGACTTGGGCACCCTTGGGATTTCATCCTGGGTCTCAGACTCCTAAATCCAGCCCATGCTTGCCTTCTATTTATTGCCTCCAGAATCAAAAACTCTCACACAACACTCCTCCATAAAACAGACTTTGTGATGACAGTACAAATCAAACCTGTTCCCCAGCTCCTTGCTGGATGAACATGTCCTTCTGCCTCTTTACCTACTGTCAGCCCCTGTTCCCAGTCTGTCCCTTGTCTGACGCACACATACATGAGTTCTTTATTCCCCTGATCTAATCAGTGCCAGGCCCTTTTATCCATCTTGCTCTGGCCACTGTCCCTGCAGCCAAGCTCCCACAATGTGTGATGGCTGCCCGTATGTTCAGGAGGGCCAAATGGAGCGTCCTTGTACCTGCCCTTGAAAACTGCTGCAGAGGTGCTCCACCAGCCCTGCGGAGAGAGCAGCAGGGTTTG